GGGAGGAGCTTAGCAGAGTATGCGGCCGATCAATAATCGTGCCAGCTGTACGAAAAAAAACATTTCAAGGGCTCATTCAACAAAGATAACTTTTGAAAGACTTGCAGGCAGCATATTTGCCATAACCATGGATTGGCGAGGGCGTGGCTGCGTTTTCCCTTTGATCATGGCTTATAATGTGTTTTTCGTGAGATAGCTTCATTTGAGACAACTGTCATCTCGGGAAAAGACAAGATTACAATTGCCCCAAATATGCCACCAAAGCAGTCGCCCCCAAGTTTTGGTGAACACTACGAAATATATATTAACATTTCCAGCAAGAAGATTCCGCAGAAAAACGAGCAAATTCTACGAAGTTTGAAGCAGTTACCATACGTGGCAGCCCTTCAACCACGTTTATGAACCGTGAAAGGAGCTGAGTATCGATCACTTGCGCGTAAAATCAATATCTACTTCGAGACCACTCTGTAACTTCACAAAGTGTGGGAACAAGACCGGAAAGTGTATAGGAGGGTGGAAGCTAAGCGCAGAAGTGGTCTCCACGACCAGTCTGACCATTTGGGACGAACAGTGAACGTAGTAACCACCTATCCAATGAGTCTGAGGTCAGGAAACTTGCGCGCATGTTTGACGACCGAATGACGTGATTACACAAGGCACATCAAAAATGACGTGTTTTTCCATAGAGGGCGTGGCGAGACTGGAAGAATATATTGGATTGCCGCGCCAACTTCATTCAAGTTGTTGAATTTCTCCTCTCCGATGGTGTCCGTTTCATTGTCGCATTAATCTTCTGGATTGTTCTCGCGAACGAAAATCGGCGCTTTTTTGCTGCCTAACGCATACAGGATGAATGAATGCTTTAGCCGAACAGGCTAATTACTGGTTTCGTGCCCAAAAATAAGTATGTCTGAATAACGGTGCTCACTATTGTAGCTAAGTAGTGTACAGGCAAAGTTCCTTCTGAAAAACCCCTCTGTACGCTAGGACTACGTTCATACTTGGCATTCGGTTTTCGTGACAATCAGCGTTTTGAGCGAAGAGGATAGGATAGGTATCGATCGTCACGGATCGCTTGAGTTTTCAGGTAACCGGCTGTTGGGCGCCGATCGATTCCTATGCTTTTCTTTTCGCCCAAATCGTGATTCGATTAAAACGCCGTCGCAAAGTATGAACGCTGTCTAAACTTACACCGATAGACTAATACTAACAGTGCAAACTAGGAGAAAACTGGACTAGACAATTTCCCTGCCTTAATAAGTGTTCCTTATCGCGTCTTGTCACGGAGGAAACGAACCTTATGGTTTTTAGAGCAATTCAGCGCCTTGTCTTTCGTCTTTCTTATTGGACTGTGAAAACAATAGGATGTCGAAATTTTTATGAGCTATAAAATTGAGAGAGGGGTGCAGGTAGAGGGAGGGGTGCAGGTTGCTCAATACCAGAGCCATTTAAGAGCACACGCTCACCTCCGAGGATCTTGATCCTTACCATACGCAATTCGAACAGGTTCGTAGATATGAATAGATGTAACCACTTTAGTCCCTCAAGGTACGCCGAAATGAAGACGTAGGATACTGCAAGCGGTGTACAGTTTGGGACTCCACCCACAGACAAAATACACAGACGCACAACGTGCCGCACATCCAGGCTTACTTACGCCTAACTATGGCCGTACGCGCTGCTTGCATGCGTCCCTCTCCCCTTTGCTGCTCCTACTTTTGCTGTCTACTTCGGTAACTTGCAGGTGTGTTCGTGGGTGGATTCCGAAACGTAATCCGGCCACAACAACTCTTTAGATTCATTTCCGCATACTTTAGTTGATGAAAGTGGCCCACTTCTGCAAAAATAATCCCTCGGCGAATTTGGTCGCCTGCGCTCTGAGCGTAAGCCTTTTTAGGGAGTGGATACGGAGGAGCTGCCGAGTGACCCCCTTAACTACGTTAGCGCTAAAGTCTCTGAACCTCTTTTATCTCTTACGCAGCTTTCTCATGTCATTTCACCTCATGGGCCTTCAAAACTCATCCATCTGGAATGTTTGATTTCTCTTATGTCACGGCTTCCTTTCCACTCGAAATCTGAAATAAGTCGCGCACTTCAACAGGATTTTTTTGCCCTCTAAATGCCCCCTCTTAGGTTGTTAGTGGCCAGAATTTGGGTGAAGTATTTTTCATCTCCTTTTATACCCACTGTTATTATGTCTTATCCTTTTTTGTTTACAGTTGTGGTTTTAGATGTCATCAGAGCAACAAGAAGTCATTAGCATTGCTATTAATGAAGCAGCACCTCAAAGAGGGGACAACACGCATCTCCAACAGCAAGGCGAACAGGCTGGTAAAGTCAGCATGCAGAAAAGAGTGAAGAAAAAGAAGAAACAAGCTCCCACGAAAGAGGTGCTCAGTTCCCTCCTAATGGAATATTTTAAACAAAATCCAGTGCCATCGTACCAGGGAAAGCCACGCCGTAGTGTCTCTGCGTCTCTTCCTTAACTAAGGCCAGGGCTGCTTTCATACTTCGCGACTGGCAGAATCAGCCTTCTTGGCAAATCGCGCTTTTAAGCGAAAGGGTAGCATAGGTATCAATCGGCGCTCGAAGCGCTGGTTCCACAGCGACGACTCCCGCAAAACGCCGATCCCTAAATCGCTATCGCTCGGTGCCGATCGATACCTATACTATCCTTTCCGCTCGCAGTGAAACGCCGAGTCTCAAAGTCTGAACGAAGCCGGAGGTTCAGAGGGCAGGCGGTTAATGTCGCCGCCGATTACTCTTGCAGAGAGTTCCTGCGCGACTTCTCACCGCCTGCGTCGTGATCTTTATCCTTGTCTAGTAGAAGAGACGCAGAGACGCTGTGGAGCGATCCCCCTCCTTGATACGTAGTAAGAGAATTTATCCAAAATTCAGTAGTGAGAGATCTCAGCAGTTGCCTTCCAGGTCGATCTGAAAGAATATGTTGTTGATAATAAACTGCGTCAAATGGCAGGATTGAAGAAGATGAAGCTGAAAACCGCAGGAGTCTCTGGGAATGTTCACGAAAACTCTGAAGAATGGGTGGAACGGAAAGGAATAAGAAAGGAGAAGAAGATGACTCCGGCAAAGAAGGTGATCTATTTCTACTTGTGCCTAATGGCTGAGTGTGATGGTACACTGATACTTCAGCTAATATTGAAAAACCGGGCAAACTTGGAGATTTTGGGCACGGAACCGGTCAGATTATCTTTCATACCTACGCGTTTGGACAACATGGTAATGGAACTTCTAAAAAAGCTGCGGAAACAAACTGACGCTGTTTATGAAATAAATGAAAGGAAAGGTAAAATTTTTGTTTATTTGTTTATTTAGGTGCATAGATTTCCTATGATTTCGAGCCCCTCCTTAACCAAATTGTACAAGGAGTAAAAAGGCCTTCCGACAACCGAGCAAAAAAGTTGAAACTCCCACGGAATCTCCTTCTATTAGGAATCGTAGTGGCTTTTATAATGCGGTGTGGTATGACTTTCAAGGACTTGTGTGCCTCGGGTACCCTCCAGCGGGACGCAGCTACGTCATGTCTGCTCGTCTGCGCTTTCTCACCGAGGCAACATGATATGTTCTGAAATGCCTTAGCGCCAGAACATGTCATTTACTCTCAGCACCCTCCCCCTAAACAGTAGGACGTATCAATTTGCATCAGAAGATGACGTGGCTGAACCTCATTGGAGAATGTGTTCTTTAGATGAGCGCGCATATGTTCGGCCTGGAGGGTTCATTTTGCACTTTCACTAATTCCTCCTTCTAGTACTTGTAAACTAACAGCCGCGAAATGGTGGTACAAGAGAGGCCCTCTCTGACAGGATTCCACAGGTCTGCGGAAGGTGGCTTGTACAGGCGTCGCTGAATACCATTTGGTGCCCCCCCCCATCAAGTCGAACTACGCCTACCATTCGGTGCTTTTACCACCCTAGCAGGACATGCCAATCCCGAAGGGATAAGATACGGTTCGGTTGGGCGTTGGTTGATCTAAGAATTGATTCCAGGACTGCCGGCGGGATATGAAGCTCCGCTTGCCTCTACATCAGTTTCGCCACAAGCGAGAAATTAGCAGATTAATTAGAATTAGAAAAAAGAGTGTGACAAGTTCTACCCTCTTCTGTTAATGTGCGCAAAAATGCAGAACTCTCAATTTGCCCAAGGGAACCCTACAGAGCTCCCGATGGCGGTTTTATATGGGGAACATAGGGCACTCTCCCCTTAGTATTATATTTCCACGAATTTTAAAGTCTAAAAAATGTTCGTGCGTGTGCCACAGAGTCTGGAAAGTGAGGGTCCTACTCTACTGGTTGGAAACAGGGTTCCTTGTGAAATGCTACATTGATTTTTAAGGGGTTCGATAGAATTTTCCAACAAATTTCCGCCATTTACCCGCGGAATTTGGGAGAGTTAGAGGAATATAAGCCTAGGAAGTAGGTGACGCTAGAGTATGTTACGGGAGGGCGATCATATTCTCAAAGGAAAAGGTCCCGTCCTATGTTTGCGCCTAGTTTGAAGTTGTGCACGTTCCGATCAGAAATTAAGCGCATAAAATTTCCCAAGGGGCAACTGCGGCGCAATCTATCATTAGCCCTTTTAATTTCCGTCTCAAAAGAAAGTGATAGGATGGGGTTCCGGAGGGATTCGTTCGCTTTGCAAGACACTAGGGCAAAGTGCTTGTTCTCTTCTTTTGCCTTCTAGAAGGCCTATCAAAGTCCAGTCACTGATTAGACAGTTGCGTAAATGTGCTGCCATTCACATACAATTTTTATACGCTGCTCGGCGCTAATCAGCTCGATGGGGGCATGTGACAAAAGCACCTCACTCAAGGAATTTCGCAGCTTCACAGGAGTTTACGGTTTTGACCGGGGTAACACATGTTAGTCAACATGAACTAGCAATGAAAAACTAGCAAGTGTGCAAAATGCCCCCTACTAGCCGAACAGCGCCGGGTTTTTTTTCCACTCTATTCATATTTCTCTAGAAAAGGTGGACCAAAATCTTTCAAAACTTGTTCAGGCGAGGGCGAAGAGGTCGTTTGTGTGCGGACTTCATGAATCGCTCAAACATGTTAGGGCAGAAAATGTGAAGTGCGTCATTGTGGCGCGAAATATCGATGAAGAAATATTTTCAGGTATTTCTTCTCGAGCCAAATATGTAAATCCAATGCATGAAAAGACTCGAAAATTTCTTGGATCAAAAAAAAAACGGCGCTGATAGTGTACGGTAGGTAGGTAGTGATCGGGCAGGCAGTGGCGTTGTCCATGCTCTGCGAGAGGTATGTGACAAGACAATCGTATTGCAGCGCTGTCGGGCGTGGCAAGCAACGCCGCGCCCAGCGGACGAGTTGTCCTTTCCGACCAGTTGAGCTAAAGTGTTAAAGGAACGGAGAAATTCTATATGGACCCTTGACTCTGCTAAAAATCATGCTTTTCACTGTTTCGTTACAAACTAA